TGGAATTAATGAGATTTTTAATGCCATATGCTTCTTCCTTCCAGTGGTAAAGACAACAGTGCTGTTAGCTGACATCAATGACTTTGCAAAAGTGAATGAAGTATATGCATCATGTGAGTATTAACAAAGAGACCTCAAAAATACAGTTGTTGTGATTAATTTTTTTTCTTCTTCTTCTTCTAAATTTACTTAATTAAATTGAGTTAGATTTAAGGTACCTTTCATTATTTTCATTATTAATATTTATTTATTTTTTTCACATATTCTTTGATTGGAGTTCAGTTGTTTTTCCTCATTGCTAAAACTATATATTTTTCATACAGTAAAAAGTGTAAGTAATTGCAATTTTTTTTTCTTTTTCTTCTTTTTTTTCTTCCTTTTTCTTTTTATTTGAAACTATGTATTCTCGTTTTCCTTTGCAGTCTTCTCGGAGGCAGTGCCAGCCCGGGCAGCTTACCAAGTTGCCAATCTTCCAAAGGTATAAATGAACTATTTTTTTTCTCTGTCACGCATTTTTATATTTTCACTGTGTGATGATAAATTTTTATCATAATATTTTCTGAGGACATTTTCTTGTTGAATCATTGATTTACAGTTAAAAAAAAGAATAAGAAGAATCACTGTATGATGTGGAATCGTATAATCATCACAATTGAAATTATATGATTTGTAAGCTGTACACGTCAGAATGGGAATGGTACTTTGAACATAATTTCAAGCAGTTTATTTATAACCTTTTTATCATAATTTCCAAGCACTTAAATTCATCAGGTTATAAAACTGTTAGTTCTCTGATCATAATTTCCAAGCATTTAATTTCATCAAAATAGAAAGCCCATAAATGTTTTATCATAGTTTCCAAGCAGTTTATATCATCAGAATATAAAACCCTTAACTTTTTTACAGGGAGGCAAAGTGGAGATCGAAGCCATTGCCCTTGTCGGAGAGTTGGACCATCAGTGACTCCTCAAAAGCCAAATTTAGTCCGAACTGTCATCTCCTACTTGACTCTATTTACAGTTAACCTTTTTTGCATATGTTTGGGACTAGAAGGCATTTCTAAACCTTTAACCGAGTGGTTTGCAATTTGTTATCCTGCCTATAATTTGTCTAAAGAGAATTTCTTTTTTAAGATAGTAGAGTACTATGTTGTTTTGGATTTCAGATGTATATACAGATGTTTTATTTACACAGAATGAAATTTATATATGACAGCAATAAACAGTGATTCTTATTTTCATGTAGCTGGTTTTATTAATTATTCATCAGTTAAGTAACTTTAAATAGAAGATAAATATTTTTTTAATGTGATTTCCAGATTGTTTATTTTATACCACAAGTTCAGTGCCAATTTTAATTTGCAGAGGTGCTAGGTAATATGATTTTGTGGGGTTTGTAAGATGCATGAGAGCTGCTACCCCCTCTCCCCCCCCTTCTCTCTCTCTCTATCTCTCTCTCTTTTTTCTCTTTTTTTCTTTTCTTTTTTTCTCTTTTTTCTCTCTCTCTTCTCTCTCTTTTCTCTCTCTCTCTCTCTCTCTCTCTCTCTCTCTCTCTCTCTCTCTCTCTCTCTCTCTCTCTCTCTCTCTCTCTCTCTCTCTCTCTCTCTCTCTCTCTCTCTCTCTCTCTCTCTCTCTCTCTCTCCTCTCTACCTCTCTACCTCTCTACCTCTCTACCTCTCTACCTCTCTCGCTCTCTCGCTCTCGCTCTCTACCTCTCTACCTCTCTCGCTCTCTACCTCCTCTCTACCTCTCTACTCTCTCTCTCTTACCTCTCTCCACTCTCTCTACCTCTCTCTCTACTCTCTACCTCTCTCTCTACCTCTCTACCTCTCTACCCTCTCTCTACCTCTCTCTCTACCTCTCTACCTCTCTCTCTACCTCTCTACCTCTCTCTCTACCTCTCTGCCTCTCTCTCTACCTCTCTCTACCTCTCTCTCTCTCTCTACCTCTCTCTCTCTCTACCTCTCTCTCTCTCTCTCTCTTTTTTCTCTCTCTCTCTCTCTTTCTTTCTCTTTCTTTCTCTCTTTTTATTTCTCTCTCTTTTTCTCTCTATGCTCCCTGTCTTTTTGTCTCTCTCCTCCCTCTCTTTTTCTCTCTCTCCTCCCTCTCTAAAGTGATCATATCTCAATATAAATGTAATGATAATGGGATAAGGGTATAAAAAGTCTAGATATCGCGAAATTTGACTGAAACGACTCGATTTGCAAAATCTGAGAACATGATGCTATTTTTATTATGAATCTTATTTGCTACTCTAAAAAAAGTGTCAAGGATAACACAGAAGTATCCTCAGTACTGTACAGGCGGCAGAACTTTGAATATCCTCTTTGCTGGTCATTTATCGGTTGAAGTTTTTTTTTTTTTTTTTTTTGTATGTGATTTTTAGCTTCTAGTTTCTTTTCTTGAATATCCTTTTATTTTTCTAATGTTTTCTTGATTCCCAATCATTTTAGCTCTTTATCTAATCCTTTTTTTTGTTTGTTTTTTGTTTTTTTGTTTTT